TCATGCGTTTTCACTGATCGGATATCTATCTGATTTGTTAAAACGTTTCCATTTATGTGGCCAAGTGTAAATGGAAACGTTTTAACAAATCAGATAGATATCCGATCAGCGAAAACGCATGAAATGACCAGGTGTAAACAGGCCCTTGGTTTTAGCTGGATTTTCCAGCAGGGTATAGTTGTGTTGTGTCCCTTAGACATTTCTAGCTTCTGCATTCTGCATTCAAGTCAGGTGTTTTCAACCCATTTTACTTCTATGATGTGACATTTTTCCATGTGAAACAGGATATTCAACATGACAAATGTAGTGTGGAACTTTTATCCATTAGGAATTGACCTGATTGTGGTGTTCAAGCCAGTAATTAATGTGCATTCGCAGATACTCTCCTATCCTTTAAGTTCCAACCTGCTTTCAGTATACTGAAACATCAGCAGGTTGGAACTTAAAGGATAGGAGAGTATCTGCGAATGCACATTAATTACTGGCTTGAACACCACAATCAGGTCAATTCCTAATGGATAAAAGTTCCACACTACATTTGTCATGTTGAATATCCTGTTTCACATGGAAAAATGTCACATCATAGAAGTAAAATGGGTTGAAAACACCTGACTTGAATGCAGAATGCAGAAGCTAGAAATGTCTAAGGGACACAACACAACTATACCCTGCTGGAAAATCCAGCTAAAACCAAGGGCCTGTTTACACCTGGTCATTTCATGCGTTTTCGCTGATCGGATATCTATCTGATTTGTTAAAACGTTTCCATTTACACTTGGCCACATAAATGTGTCGTCACAAAACAGATATAAATCCGATCTTCAATTCCCGCGCTATATTTAAATTTAGACGTGAGTTCACGTCAACGAAATCAAAAGATAAGCGCTGCATTTTATTAATTATCAGCTCATTTCAAGATCAAAGACCACAATAGGAGAGCGTGCGGCATCAGCACTGGAAAGATAAGTTTGTCTTACTACTTTTAATGAAGATGATTGTGTGTTGACCGTCTGCGTATTACTTTGTTTCATTCGCGGCAGTTTGCGCGTCGTCTTGCTGAAGAGATACTCAGCTACTCGTCCACTGCGATGCGTGTTGCATTAGCGCAGTCATATCTGACTATAATGTCATATAGCCTATAACACACTCTCACACGTTTATTATTTTAACATTTTGGGAGGAGTAAAATTACACCTGGCCTTTTCACGATCGGATAGCTATCCGATCAGACAAAAAGTATGAAGTGACCAGGTGTAAACAGCCCCTAAAGGTTAGGGCAGGGGAGTCCAACCCTGTTCCTTAAGGGTCACTGTCCTGCAGAGTTTAGCTTCAACCTTAAATAAACACACCTGAACCAGCTAATTAGGATCTTCAGACTCACTAGAATCTGTGTTGGAGCTAAACTCTACTGGACAGTGGCCCTTAAGAAGCAGGACTGAACACACCTGGGTTAGGGTTTATCATGGATGGTCACTAATAGGTCCAGGCTGGTTTATTTGGTTGATCAGCTGGACAGTTAGCTAGAGATCATGGTGATGGCTGGTAGACCACATTGGACATGACAAAAAATAGCAACCATGATACAAATCCAGCTTCACCTCCTTAAAGATTAGGTTTACCGAATATGTGTTCCATAGAAGAAAAAAAGGGATGTTTGAAACGGCATGATTAAATGATAACCAAATTTTCATCTTTTGGTCAACAAGTTCTTTAAACATGTTTTTTCCAGTGGGGTACAGTGTATGAATATCAGATTTGTTGATAAACCATCTAATTTGTGGATGAGATGATGCTTCTGTTCAGCTTAATTTTTTTTCCCACCAGTATATTGACTTGATTCCTCTTAGGGGCATCTTCTTCTGGCTAGTCCCCTGGTTATTTTCATGCCGCTTCCCCAGACTCTCAGCTTTCAAATGGCCACCTGTCATTTAGGTCAGGATACAGCAGGGGCCTGCTGGATCTTCGGCTGAATTGAAGAAGGCCCTTATGTGGAAATCCTCTCACTGCATTTACTTGAACTGGTGTCAGCAGGCAGGCAGGAAGTGCACCAGCGCCTAGCTTTCCAATCCTAACCTCCTCAAGAAGGACAGATAAAAGCTAACTCCTGATGGCGGTGTTGAATTTCAGGCTTGTTGTGATACGAGGTTGGGGGATGGAGAGAGTGCTGGCCATCTGTGCCGCTTTTGTGCTGCTGTGTTTCAGGTAGGGGCGAGAGGACGACTGTATGTTCTGGGTTTGGCCCAGGTTCCTTTAATTATGTAAGTCTATCAGACCTTTTCTTCTCATTTTTGTCCATCAATTTGTCCATTGTTAGTCTAATCTTAAAGTAATAGCACACCTCTCCTCAACAAGCCATGAAATTTGAGTTATCACAGTACATATCAGTAGCACAAACATGTACACAAAAGAACTGAGTTACACACAAAGTTAACTAATGAGTTAAGAGTTTGACGGGTGTTAAAGAGTTAGTTCACCCAAAAATGAAAATTAGCCTGTGTTTTACTCGAGGCATCCTAGGTGTATATGACTTTCTTCTTTCAGACGAATCCAATCAGAGTTATATTAAAAGTTGTCCTGGCTCTTCCAAACCTTATAATTGCAGTGGGCGGGTGTTTGTTTTCAACAGTCCACAAGATGTCAAATAAAGCGTGTGCATCCATAATAAAACGTGCCTCACATGGCTCCGGGGCGTGAATAAAGGCCTCCTTTAGCAAATTGATGCATTTTTGTAAGAAAAGTATCCATATTTCAAACGTAATAAACACTTTTCTCTCACTTCATCTAACTGTGGTATGCAGAAAACTAAACAAAATGCCGGTCATAAATTAGAAGTACAAACTGCATATCACAGTTAGATGAAGTGAGAGAAAAGTGTTTATTACGTTTGAAATATGGATACTTTTCTTACAAAAATGCATCAATTTGCTAAAGGAGGCCTTTATTCACGCCCCGGAGCCATGTGAGGCACGTTTTATTATGGATGCACACGCTTTATTTGACATCTTGTGGACTGTTGAAAACAAACACCCGCCCACTGCAATTATAAGGTTTGGAAGAGCCAGGACAACTTTTAATATAACTCTGATTGGATTCGTCTGAAAGAAGAAAGTCATATACACCTAGGATGCCTCGAGTAAAACACAGGCTAATTTTCATTTTTGGGTGAACTATCTCTCACTTCATCTAACTGTGGTATGCAGAAAACTAAACAAAATGCCGGTCATAAATTAGAAGTACAAACTGCATATCACAGTTAGATGAAGTGAGAGAAAAGTGTTTATTACGTTTGAAATATGGATTTTCTTACAAAAACGCATCGATTCGCTACAGGAGATCTTTATTCACGCCCCGGAGCCATGTCAGGCACATTTTATTATGGATGTGCGCGCATTATTTGACGTCTTGTGGACTGTTGAAAAAAAATACCCAACCAATGCAATGATAACGCTTGGACGAGCCAGGACAATTTTTAATATAACTCCGATTGGATTTGTCTGAAAGAAAAAAATTAATATACACCTAGGATGCCTCAAGGGTGAGCACAATTAATTAACAATTAAGGTTCTCTTTGTAAAGGGTTATAAAGGTATTCATAAATGACTAATAACTGATTTACAAATGCATTATCATCCAATCGTTGATAAGCAATTATAACTGCATGAATAAAAAGGGTGATTTTAAAACAAAACCTGCAAAACAGTGAGCCATTTTTTACTCATGTTTTAAATTCTTAATAAATATATTGATTCATACTTATTTCACTCAAAACCAGATTCCTCATTTAATTATAAAAAAAACAGATTCCTGATTTATTTAATGATGCAACAAAAATAGATGATTACAGTATGACTGAAGGGTGTTGTATTTGTGGTTTTCTCATTTATATCTCATGACTCTTGTAAGTTTTTTATACTATGTTGGTTACCAGAAACTACTCTATATCTTAGCCATGATACTCTGCAAAAGATCCTCCAAGTACAGAGGCATCTCTGAATAAACGCGTGCGCGGATGGAACAACGGCGTCGAATTCTTGGGAGAGGAATAATGGTGGCTGGTAGCCTAAACAGCACTGGAAGCGAGACAAACCCGTAGACGAGACCGGGAGGGAGTTATGCACGTACTCAAATCATGGTTAATCTGGAACTCCAAGACGATGGTTCGGCAGATGTCACAGAGCGCTGAACCCTCTCTGAATTCTGGTTAGCACGCTCACTCTGATCGGGGAGGGGAATAAAATGGGCCGCCTTTGAGAACCTGTCCACCACAGTGAGGACTACCGTCTTGCCACTAGATGGGGGTAGGCCAGTGACGAAGTCCATCACTATGTGTGACCAGGGTCGCGAAGGGACCGACAGTGGCTGAAGTAGCCCTGCCGGGGGTCGATTGGAGCCCTTACCCGCGGCACAAACTGGACAGGCCGACACGAACTGACGAGCATCCTGCGCCACGGATGACCACCAAAACCGCTGCTTGATCAAATTGCAGGTGCAATTCGCTCCTGGGTGGCAAGCTAGTTCGGATGAGTGGCCCCATTGTAGGACGCTAGTTCGGACTGACTCGGGCACAAACAACAGGCCCTCTGGGCACCCCGTGGAAATAGTAGGGTCGCGTAGTGCTGTTCGGACCTTGGACTCAACCCCCCAGGTGACCGCCACCACCACCCATTCGGGAGGCAGAATGGCCACAGGGAGGATGGGACTAGCCTCAGCCTCAGTCAAAGATCAGTCAGAGGAAGGGCGACCTGGCTAAAGTTCCGAATTAATCTCCTGTAAAAATTGGCAAACCTCAGAAATCTCTGGACCGCTCTACGACTATCTGGGGTGGGCCAATCAGCAACTGCTTTTACCTTGGCGGGATCCATTTGCATACCCTCGGGAGAGAGGATAAATCCCAGGAACGGAACCGACCATGCGTGAAACTCAAACTTCTCTACCTTGGCGAATAAACGATTCTCAAATAGCCGCTAGAGCACTCGTCTGACGTGCTGGACATGATCGCGCTAGTTCTGAGAGAAGATCAGGATATCGTCGAGGAAGACAAAAACAAACCGGTCGACCATGTCTCTGAGCACGTCGTTGACGAGTGCCTGGAAGACCGCCGGGGAGTTGGAAAGCCCAAACGGTATGACCAAATACTCAAAGTGCCCCGTAGGGGTGTTAAAGGCGGTCTTCCATCCGTCCCCCTCCCTAATCCGAACTAGGTGATACGCATTGCAGAGGTCCAACTTCGTAAAGATGGTTGCCCCCTGCAATAGCTCGAAGGCAGATGACATCAATGGCAAAGGATAACGATTCTTCACCGTGATGTCAATCAACCCCCGATAGTCTATACAGGGGCGCAGCAAACCATCCTTCTTCTCCACGAAGAAGAACCCCGCCCCAGCTGGAGAGGAAGAGGGATGGATAATGCATGCTACCTCAGAATCGTGAATATACCTCTCCATGGCGTCCCTCTCGGGTCCGGACAGAGAGTAAAGGCGCCCCTTAGGCAGAGAAGTGCCAGGCAACAGGTCTATCGCACAATCGTACGTCGGTGCGGAGGCAGAGATTAAGCTCTGGACTTACTGAAAACCGCTCTCAAGTCATGGTAAGCCTCCGGTACATCCGCCAGATTCACCGGCTCCTCCTGCAACACAGAATGCCTGCCGGCACGAAGCTGCCACGTGATCTGCTTCCCCGCAGTAGAGACACGGTTGATTGTCCAGGCGATAATGTCGCTCCCTTACAGTCAGCCGTGCTCTCCCGGCCTGCATCGGTTCCTCCTCCGGGAAAACGAGACATTGGGATGGCGTGTCACTCGCTGCCTGACGCAGCTCTAGTGACGGGCTCAGCAGGAAACACACTCCTCCGATGTCGAGAATGGAGTGCAATCCGGTTACCCACCCGGATGGCGAGGTCGTTCAAATCGTCCAGATTAGAGGGCAGTTTGAGAGAATAGATCTCATCCTTGATGTATTCAGCCAGACCGTGGAAAAAAATGGTCCCAGAGCACCTTAGCATTCCAGCCACAGCACGCGGCGAGTGTACAAAACTTAATAGAGTACCCCGATACGATTGCTCTCCCTGCTGTAGCAGCGATAAAGCTCGTGCCGCCTCGGTTCCTCAAGCAGAGTGATCGAAAACTTTGCGTAGATCCTCCGAGAAACTCTCAAACGAAGAACAGCAGTGATGTTTGTTATCCCACATGGCCATTCCCCTCTCTCTCGCTTGACCCACCAAGAGCGTGATGGTAAATGCCACCTTGGACTGCTCTGTGGGAAAACAGGAAGGCTGGAGCGAGAAAGTCAGAGAGCATTGGGATAAGAAGGAGCGACATTTATTAGGCTCACCTGAGTATGGAGCAGGAGGATTGAGCCGCGGTTCAACGCAATGGAGAACCGCTCCATCGGGGTTGGGAGAAGGCGTTACAACTTGGGCAGCGGGAGGGTTAGACTGCAGCTGATCAAGGCACTCCGCCAGCTGGTTGAGCTGGAGAGAGATCTCGGTGTAGGCGCGGCGAGAAGCCGCGAGTTCCTCCTATTGCCGACCCAGAAGAGTGCCCTGCTGTACAAGGGCTCGGCGCAACTCTGTCTCCTCTGCTGTGTCCATGACATGGTGAGTAGATTCTGTCAGATCCCCAGTATTACAAAGGTCTCAAATGCAGAGAAGTAGGTGAAAAACGGAGATTTATTTCTCACAAGGCAAAACCAAAACAATAGAACAATAACAAAATTAGCGAACTAGTCCTTGGGGACTCCAGAGCCGACCAGCAGAGTAATGCGGACCTCACGGGCTGTGGAAGCTGTCCCAGACCCAGCGTTCGCACAGGACAGGCGACCAGAGAGATAGCGAGGCAACGATCAGCGTTGATTGCCCAGGTCACAAGCTGCCGAAAGTGACGGGACAACACAGACAGCAGGGGGAGCCAATGAGGCACCCTAAACTGTGACACATTCATTGCCATTATAAAGCTTGGAAGAGCCAGGACATTTTTAATATAACTCCGATTGTAATCGTCTGAAAGAAGAAAGCCATATAGAATGGCTTGAGGGTGAGTAAATCATGGGGTAATTTTCATTTTTGGGTGAACTATCCCTTTAAGCACAGTAAACTCCGGCCTCGTTGTAGAGGGGAATTACAGTAATACTGTTTTTAGTACCTTGCAGTTTTAGACTTTTTATTAATAAGCTTTGTTTTTATGCTCTTAAACATATTTATTTGCACATTTTTGCACATCTGCCCTAAATAAACACCTTTTTGGATGCCAACATCACTCCTGTGTTTACATCACGATGAGATCCTCCTTGTGACTGCTCGGGTCCCTATCACAGGTGCCATGAGACTGCGTTGGGTGGAACCAATGAAAAATCATCAAACCCTGATGCACACTGCTTGTAATATTTGTGAGTTGATTATTATCTAATTTTATATTATCCAAAACAGCTTACAAGAGGAACAGTTTGCATGGGTTACTACTAGTACCAGTTTGTAACCACTAAGCTACCAGCAACATCGTCATCCAATCAGATATTAAGGATAGTGAAAGGAATAAAATCTGATTTTAAAATCTAGTTCATGAGAATGTTGTTCCAGGAGCATATGCTGCTTGGCAAAATCCTGAGAATATTCCTTCTTATCATTTTTACATCATTCCATTTTTGTGGAAGGATAGTGGTAGCTATAATTTGGGTACTCATTGTCTCCATTTTATCGCATAGTACATTATGATGCTGAGTTTAGAAACTACAGAGGGAAGATCTGGTGTAATCAAATTATAATATTGGAGGTTGAAGCTCACTAATTTATGCATTTATGCAAAAACATGCATGCTTATTAGATTATGTCACTTCTTATATAGATGACTGGGGGCATTATGTTATTCTAGAGGGGAGGGGTGTCTTTTATAATAGAGAGTTATATTATGTTTAATTTCATTTTATGAAATCCCGCTGTGTATGTGTGTCTGTATATTTAGAGAAGTGTTTGTCCTTACAGGACAGTAAGCTCTTTTGTTCTTGTGCGTAAGCAGAGACTCTTAGTATCACAGAAACACACCCTAGTTTAAATGAACAGGAATTTAAACACTGTAAGCAGTGTGCATGTGTGTGTGTGTGTGTGCGCGCGTGTGTGGAGACTGTGTCATTGGTATGTTGTTCTACAGGAGAGACCAGCCTTGCTTTGAAACAGCCAAAGAGATGTTTTTCCAAAAGACTGCTCTTAGAGGAACTCTGAGAGCCGGACTTCTCTGCATTCCTTCTGGCCTTCCATACTTGAACAATCACAGTACTGATTTATCCTCAATGCACACATACCTGTTTTCAATACTCTTGAATGGATTATGCAGTTGAGCTCTGGATGGAACAGATTCATGCGCTTGTCTGGGAGCTGATTGATAAACATTGAAGTCATTGTGCATCTCGTCAATCATACTCATCTTACTGGATTGTTATATTATAGCTATTTGACAAGATGTGCATGGTCAACAACGCAACTAAAAGAACAGCGAATCTAAAACCTCTGAGCAAGCTGCAAGAAGATGAAAGTGTCTTAGCATTAGATTACAAATGTATTTGTATAATTTCAGTGATTTCATAAATTGTGAATTGAAATACACTGTGGTTAATTGAATTGAAGAAGTTCTTGTTTCAGATTGATGACCCTGGACCACAAAACCAGTCATAAGTCGCACGGTTATATTTGTAGCAATAGCCAACAATACATTGTATGTCAAAATTATAGATTTTTCTTTTATGCCAAAAAATCATTAGGATATTAACTAAAGATCATGTTGCATGAAGATATTTTGTCAATTTCCTTCGGTAAATATATCAAAACTTATTTTTTGATTAGTAATATGCATTGCTAAGAACTTCATTTGGACAACTTTAAAAGCGATTTTCTCTCTCGTTACCCACCCGGATGGCGAGGTCGTTCAAATCGTCCAGATTAGAGGGCAGTTTGAGAGAATAGATCTCATCCTTGATGTATTCAGCCAGACCGTGGAAAAAAATGGTCCCAGAGCACCTTAGCATTCCAGCCACAGCACGCGGCGAGTGTACAAAACTTAATAGAGTACCCCGATACGATTGCTCTCCCTGCTGTAGCAGCGATAAAGCTCGTGCCGCCTCGGTTCCTCAAGCAGAGTGATCGAAAACTTTGCGTAGATCCTCCGAGAAACTCTCAAACGAAGAACAGCAGTGATGTTTGTTATCCCACATGGCCATTCCCCTCTCTCTCGCTTGACCCACCAAGAGCGTGATGGTAAATGCCACCTTGGACTGCTCTGTGGGAAAACAGGAAGGCTGGAGCGAGAAAGTCAGAGAGCATTGGGATAAGAAGGAGCGACATTTATTAGGCTCACCTGAGTATGGAGCAGGAGGATTGAGCCGCGGTTCAACGCAATGGAGAACCGCTCCATCGGGGTTGGGAGAAGGCGTTACAACTTGGGCAGCGGGAGGGTTAGACTGCAGCTGATCAAGGCACTCCGCCAGCTGGTTGAGCTGGAGAGAGATCTCGGTGTAGGCGCGGCGAGAAGCCGCGAGTTCCTCCTATTGCCGACCCAGAAGAGTGCCCTGCTGTACAAGGGCTCGGCGCAACTCTGTCTCCTCTGCTGTGTCCATGACATGGTGAGTAGATTCTGTCAGATCCCCAGTATTACAAAGGTCTCAAATGCAGAGAAGTAGGTGAAAAACGGAGATTTATTTCTCACAAGGCAAAACCAAAACAATAGAACAATCACAAAAACAGCAAACTAGTCCTTGGGGACTCCAGAGCCGGCCGGCAGAGTAATGCAGACCTCACAGGCTGTGGAAGATGT